AATTTCATTAAAAAGAGATATTTATTTTCGAAGAAAGTCATGATTTGTACGAAATGATACGACCCAGTTGAAAATAAAATATGATACGACGCAGGCTGTATATTGGTTCAGCTATTGAATTACGCGCTATATATGCTTGTAATTTTCAACAAGAATTCTTGTTTGTGATTTTTTTATTATTATAAATGCGCTCAAGTGACATTGTATACAATTTATGTCAATAGCAGAAGTCACTTATCAGTGGCGTACCTGCCGATACGCCAATACGCACGGGGGTATTTAATGAATATTTAGAGTTTCGAGAAATTAAAATTTGAAAAAAATGACGCGAAAAAAATGATGTGCTGCGTAGCTGCGTATTGATTCCAAAGGTATTTTTACGATGTAACCTTTGTCAAATATGTTCATACAATCAAAGGATAGTAAAGCACAATTTAGCACATACATGAGAAAGAGAAAAGAACATGGGGAGAAATTTAAGCGAGAAATTTTCTATTGTGTTTTTTTTATTTACAAGTAATCAAGTTTTTAAGTAGGTTATGTTTGAGTTACCATTAAAAATTCAATTTATACCACCCTATGCGGGTTTTATTAAGGGTTATCATTTTTAAAACTTAAAAAACAAAATGTTATAATGCTTATAAACCTCGCTTAACTTTATGTTTGTCTGTAACTTTTGTAGTACAAAGGAATACGTGTCAGCCTTTTCATATTTAATCCTGTAGTTGTTTGTCATTGTATAAGTCTGTCACATTCATTTCATCTTCATTTGAAATTGTGTAAAATAGTTTAGGTCCTACAAATCTGATCATAGCAGCAAACAATATCCCACAATTATCATCACAAACCGAACTCAACGTTTATGTAAAGAACATTTTTAATCAAATTTAAGCCCCTTAAAATGGAAGATTTACAATATATATCACTATACAAAGCTATTTACATATATTTCATTGACTATAGAAATGAATTGCATATTTCTGCAAACAATGGCATCTTTTATGTATTTTATAATAGTCTCATCTATATATACATACAGAACAGAGATAAAATTACAATAAAAACAAAGTAAAGCCATAAAAGAGAATGTTCTTTCTTCTTTTTTCTCATTTTGAACTTTTTACAAAACTAAAATATGTTTCCATAATATGTTTAAATAAACCTCATTTGTAAATATTTGTATGCGATACAAAATCCTATATGTTATGTTTCTTTTTTCTAAGGTTTTGACTTGAATTTCTACCAGACTAGTAAGGCATTAATTTTAACTGCGTAATACTATAACTAAAATATATTGGACGAATTTTAAAGAGTAAAATTGAGGAAAAATTGTAAAAAACAATTATTTTCTAATATTAAAAAATGCACCTAAGTGATCGCGTATCAAGGAATTTAAGGTGTGGTTTTGATTACATAGATTATTGTTACACTTAAACATTTAATCTGTTGTGTTCGTTTTATGGTCATAAGCAATATTTTCCTTGTTCCTTGATCATATCTCATGTTAAGGTATTTTGAAATAAAAAAATGAAACAAAATATAGTTGTTTTATTTTGAGTATACGCTAATAACAGTCCCTTGGGCAAAGTGTCCTATTTGCATCAAGCCTGAAGTGAAGATTGCTTTTATTAAATAATTAAAAAAAAACACAAAAATAAATCAAAACCACACCTTAAATTCCTTGATACGCGATCACTTAGGTGCATTTTGTTAATATTAGAAAATAATTGTTTTTTACAAAACTAAAATATTTTTCCACTCTTGCTTTAAATAAACCTCATTTGTAAATATTTGTATGCGATACAAAATCCTATATGTTATGTTTCTTTTTTCTAAGGTTTTTTCTTGTTCCTTGATCATATCTCATGTTAAGGTATTTTGAAATAAAAAAATGAAACAAAATATAGTTGTTTTAAACATCTTGATTAGAATAGAAATACCTGGCTATCTTTTGTTTTACTAATGATAAATACGTTTTAAAGCAATATTTTCCTTGATTATATCTCATGTCATACTCGGTAACCCCGGCGTTTTACCGTAAACATGTATTAAATGTAGTACATGTATATTCAGAATGTGTACCGTGGTTTCCGACGATGATCTCATGTCTATGTATATTGAAAAAGAAAAGAAAAAACGGAAAAAAGTTAACCATCTTGATTACAAATAGAGGTATCTGGCTATATTTGGTTTTCCTAATGGTAAATAACTTTTTTTGAATTATTTAATAAAAGCAATCTTCACTTCAGGCTTGATGCAAATAGGACACTTTGCCCAAGGGACTGTTATTAGCGTATACTCAAAATAAGCCAAGGTACGCCCCTGCAAGTTATTGGTTCCACAAACATGGAAAATGTAACAAAAATTCATTTAATGCTTAATTTTTCTGTCACGAGGATATGAAATTCGAAAAATAGTGTATCAAGCGTAAAATACATTGTAACACGTTATTCCACACCCATAAGACACATTGATCTAGTGTTGCATTAGGATGCTTGTAACCTTGTTCATGTGAGTTCAAACCTATTGGGGTGGTTACTTTTTTCACTTGCAGTTTTGTGATACAAATTTTCAATATTCAAATGTAAACTCTTCGCATAGTTGGGCAAAAAAGTGTACCCGGTTCCAGCCTTTTTAAAAACAAGTGACATAAAAGCTTGCAATATTCTAATTTTAATTGGGATATTTTTCTTATGGGCATTATCTCCCAGATTATGACACAGAACAAAATTTATCAAAGAATCTAGCTTAGCACGTCGAAATATATTGACTGAAACGGAATGATAGAGTAAATATTTTTGAAGTTTTTTTGTTGGCTTTATATGTTGACCATATCATTTCTGTATTAATGGCTGAACGGCGATTCCAAGCATTTTTGGAAAGGCTAATACTTGTTATGTTGTACGTAGAAGGGTGATATTGCCCATACACATTAGAGCACAACATATTATCGCTTTGAACTACTGATGATCAAACAAAACAATAAAATCCAAACAAAATAATGAACACAAATGAATAACAGTACATCATTTACAGTATATAAAAAAAAAATATCTACTTCACAAAATCTAATTAGCATTAGAAAACAACTTAAACCAAAACATCAAATATTTACAAATATCTTCTTAACCAAAGCATGAACTATGTAATCTTAACAAGACAAAATCACTCAATTCAACTCAATACAACTCAATCAATATCAACCAAATATTCTTACCAAACAAATATAACTAGACAACAAAATATAATGCAACAACCAAAACAACTTAATATAATACAGCCAATGAACACTGATCAATTTAAATCACCACAATTAAATATAACTTACTTCAACAAATAAATAAAACTCCCTCAAAACAACATTGTTCTTATCTCTAAAAATTAAACGCTACACACTCGAAAGTGCCTAACCTTTCTCCCAAAACTCGCATCGTTATCATAACGATTTGACAGTAAGTTTATACTTTACATACTGCGATAACTGTACATTGAAACATGCTCAACCAATATATTGTTGTAGGGAAATATTTACTTGTTGTAAAAAAAAACCAACAGATTAAACTGAATGATTATTCTGACATCAAAAAAGTCCAAAACATGAAATTATTTTTTTTTTAATTTATTTAAAGTTGAAGATCCAGTAACACAATTTTTTATGGTTTTATATCATAAATATGATGCTAAAAGTAAGATTTTTCAATTTTGTAAGTTCTTAAAAGCATTATTTATAAAGATATTACCGAATTTAACATTTCATGTAAATAAAGGGAGGTAATAAAAAACTTATTGTCTATAAAGTCTGAATCAAATTTTTCAATAAGAAATGAATGCCTATATTTTAATGATTACATATGATATCTGCAAACTTTTGCTGTACATTTTTTACATGTTCTTCGATGTTAATGTTTTAAAATTGTTTAATAAGTAATAATATATACATATATATAATTTCACTTAAGTGTGGTATGCAACCTAAATAACAACATACAGGATCTTTAAGCACTTAAAATGGAAATATCTGCAAATAATAATTATAATATGAAATATACTCGGAATTAAATGGAAAATCGACATTAACTGCAATTGTTTGATTGGTGTGAAAGTGTTGCATTTCATTTATTGGAATAAAAGAGATTATTTTCGGGTAAGGGAATGGTCTCAAACTTTGCTCACAAGTTATTGGTTCAGACCTACATCAAATGGTTCAAATATGTCGAAAACGTATTGCCATTGTTAAAAGCCCCGATCGTTGCGCTATCTCGGTTTTCAAATCGCTACCCGGGTCTGTTCATAATATAAAGATCGTATCTCGGTAGAATGAAATAAATGCATGATGAATACATAATGTTATGTATTGCATGTGGTAACTGACACTCTTCACAGCTGTTGAACGAGGATAATCAAAAAGGGATCATTTTACATTCAGTGGGTATGCTATGTCCCTCCAAATTCAACTTTATGCGAATAAGTGAATCGACAGGTACGCTCCTGTTACATAATTTAAAATATATATATTATGTAAGTAGAGAAATCTATTTATTCACCAATGGAAGAAGATAGCATAATATGAAATTATTTGTAAAGCGTTTGCTGGTTTGAAATGTTACCATACCACACTGAATGTGTTATTTCACGGTTTTATCGTCATTCATTTCAATACAATGACAAAAAAGGGTCATCTACGCAGTAACATTCTTACGTACTTCCTTTATACTTTTTTCTCATACGATAGTGATACTTATAATTCATACTGACAAAGAAAGGACATTTCCAGCTTTTCCCAGCTGTAATTGAGTCCAATAGAAGTTAATTTAATAAAATATTATCCATGCATTGAAAGTATTCAATCGTTGTCTGATAAAAGGAAAACTAAAAGTATGTTTTTTCATACTCTACAGTGACATATATTTAGTTGTTTTTGGTTTTGTTTTTAAAATCATAAGAAAACAAAAGTAAGTTATAAACGATCTGTGTAGCCATAAAATGAAAAGCTATCTCACCTAATTGTCGGATATAGTTATCAAACATGTCACTAAGAAAATATGAATATCCTGCTTTAATGATTCCGTTCATATTTGTTTGCTGAAGAGATTTATAAAATGGTTTAACTACATATTTCTACACGATGAGAATGTTAAGGCTTGGTCGTGCTATCGCAACATTTGGGTCCTTTCCAAGATATTACGAAATTGTATCAAATATCGGCTCTTCCGTCAATCTTCGGGTAAGGTAATCCATAAAACAATGAATTATGCTATTTTGGTTAAACCTATGCTGCAAAATTTAAACATGTAAATCTACTTAAACGTAAAGTTTTAAAACATGTGGCTGGTTAACATTAACATTAAATCGTGTAAAAGTCGACTTGAAATATAAAGTAGGTGACAAGTACATTGCTTATGTACTAATTATATCATTTGCCTTTCACCGCTGTGGGTTCGAATCCCGACAAGGACTTTTAATTATTTCATGTGAGAATGCTATCCAGCTTACGGAACGTCGGTGGATCTACTCAGGTACCCGTTCGTGCCTGAAATAATGCACGGAAGGGCACCTGAGGTCTTACTCCACCAGTTAAGCTGGATCGTCGCCATATGACATATACTGTGTCGGTGTGATGTAAAACCCAATAAAACAAAACGAACAGACAATGTACTAATAAAAAACCAAGGTGCAATTGACATACCAGCAGACAATATTGTTACGCTCTTGTAGTTGAGAGTCTCTTTGCACCCTGTTTTCTTTGTTTGTTAGTCTGTCTTCATATGGTAGTTCTAGGCTAGAAGTTGCCGACTGGGGTTCAGAAGTTTGCTGCACTCTTGTTTTATCAGTACAAGATAGTTTAGTTTAGTTTTGGTAGCTTTCTATGGCCTGCTATTTATGGAACAGGTACTATTCATCAAAACTTGGCTTGAGTTCTGGGCTTCAAGAAATGTTTGACTTACAAAAAGAAGAAAAAATAAGTCTGTTTAAATATTAACGTTTTACTTAAATTTATTTATCAAGTATATAGAAATCTATTATATTTCAACAGAGAATAACTAGACTTGAATAACATTAAAGCTGTGTATTGTGTGCAAAGTGCAAGGTGCTCTTAATAATAAAAACATCAATATCTTACTTAAAAACATATGGCAAAATACATAATTCACATTTAAATCATTCATTTACCTCAAATTTCTTGAGTTAATCATCATTTTTTGTAAAAATACGAAAGTTTAATCAATAATAAATAACTTTATTTCAAATAACCCGCCTCAGACAGTAGCAACTGCTCACAGTCAAAACCAAAATGGCGGATCTGCACAATACAGAATGAGGTCAAATGTAAAATATTAAAATGTGAAGGATTTAACAAGTTTCTATAAAAGTATTCTTGCAGAACCATTCATAAACAAGGATTAATTTGATATGCAACGTAAATAGTGACTTATAAGAGGGATTATTCAAATTACAAGGAAAGATAAACAAGTCGTGAAAACACATAACACAACACGATTCTGACATGGAAAACATATAGGGATTTCAACTTAACTTACAGACTAGAATAAAATCTGACATAATACGTGACATTTATCTGATGTCTTGTGAAAATTACTAAGACACCAGTCAACTAATGTGCTAATGCCAGTTAAAGCTTCAAAAACGAAAAAAGGATCAATAAATGACAGAAAGTGAAAATGGACGAATGAAGTAAACCGGTAAAATTTTCTAGATCATTCCAATATTTCAGATTTAGTTTTTATTATTTCCAGTCATAATATTATCGAACACGACTTTTTTCGTCAATGGATGTCAATTAAAACATTCATTAAACATTACACGAAGATTTTTTTTAGCCCCAACCGGTTTAAGCGTCCGTCCGTCTGTCCATCTGTTTGTCTATCTGTATTGAAAGGGTTAAGGTTTGTGTACAACTTAACATTACGGGGTTTATTCCGTACATACTGTAATTTTGGGGTTAGAAATTGTACTCCAGGGTTAAAAATGTCTTTATGAGATTAAAACAAATCAAAAGAAGCTGAAAGAAATATCCCCGCAATGTAGGTCTGGTAAGAATGTCCGTCCGTCCGCAGTCCGTCCACAAAAACTAGATCCCATGATAACGTAAAGATGGTTATCAAAAAGACTTCAAATATGGCAAATATAAAAAAAAATGTGATTATTCAAATTGAGCTGATATCATTTTTATGAAACTTGAAATATTGACAGACAGCAGAATTGAGATTCAAATCCTACTCACCCAGCGTAGGCAACCGCGTCCAGATGTAAGCAGTACAATCTTTGTCACTATATCTTCTTTATTTCTTTAGATATCTACTTCAAACTTCAAACCTATGTTTCTGATCATCAACCACATCATATAACAAGAATTTCCAGAATTTCCAGAATTTCCAGAATTTTTTACATATTTAGCACCAAGATTATTGGAATTACCCCCTTTTGAAAATGTTTTTTGTATTACTTCTTTATTTCTTTTCTTAATGAATATTCTTTTCAGTTCAAATGTTTCTTATCATCATCCACATCAAATGTGAAAATGTTCCTAATTCTACCGCATGTATTATCAGAAATATCCAGAACATTGAATTTTTATGAAAATCAACTGCGAACTTCTAGCATATGTTCCTAATTATCATTTAAATCAAGTATGTGAAGATTCAATACTCTCGCTTGACTATTTCCAGAATTATGCCCCACTTGAGCTTAATATTTTCTAGAAATTATTTTTTACTCTTACACTTGCTTTATTTCTTAAATGATTTACTTCAAACATCAAACTATACCTTATAATAATTTGACATAGGTCAAACGTCCAAATTTTCAAAATTATCTCCTCCTAAATCTTTTATTTTTCCTTATTTATTCTTTATTTTTTGTTTTATCATGGATTGACTCCAAATTCCAAATGTTCATTATCAACACCTATATTATCAACATTTGGGTTGCGGTCACAGTGTTATCAAACTATCCAAATATCCTGGAAATTGGTCAGGAAGGTTGTATTGATGATTTCTTGGTCAAATCTGAATATAGGTCATCTCTGGTCGAAATCTTGGTCACAGGAACTAAAAATAGAAAAATTTTGTTAACACTCTAGTAGCTGCTGTTTTGATCCAAATATTTAAGAATTTGGTCAGGAAAGTTTTAATGACGTTTTCTAAAACAAGTTAGAGTATGGGTCATCTGGGGTCAAAAACTAGGTCACTGGACCTAAAAATAGAAAACTCTTGTTAACACTCTAGTGGCTGCATTATGATCCAAACATTCTGGAATGATTGTCAGGAAGGTTGTTTTGATGATTTCTAGGTCAAGTGTGAATATGGATCGTGTCTGATTAAAAACAAGGTCACAGGAGCTAAAAATACAAAACGTTTGTTAAAACTCTAGTGGATGCAGTTTTGATCCAAATATCCTGGAAATTGATCAGAAAAGTTGTTTTGACGATGTCTATGTCAAGTTTGAATATGGATCATCTCCGGTGAAAAACTAGGTCACAGGAGCTATTAATAGAAAAATCTTGCTAACACTCTAGTGGCTGCAGGTTTGATCCAAATATTCTGGAAATTTGTCAGGAAGGTTGTTTTGATGATTTCTAGGTCAAGTTATTTGTCAACTGGGGTCAAAAACTAGGTCACACTGCCCAAATATGGACAAACCTTGTATATACTCTAATGGTAACAGTTTTGACTCAATTGTCATCAAATTTGTTCAGGATGCTTGTCTCGTTAATTGCTTGGAGGAGTTCGAACATAGGTCATCTCGGATTAAAACTCGGTCAGAAGAGCTTAGCTAGAACATCTTGTCAACTCTCTAGTGGCTACTATTGTTTCCAAATATCCTGGAAATTGGTCTGCAAGTGTGTCGTGATGATTTCTAGGTCAAGTTGGAATATTGGTCACCTGGGGTCGAAAACTAAGTCACACTGCACAAATATGGAAAAACCTTGTTTACACTCACATTTTTGACTCAATTGTCATCAAACCTGGGCCGGATGATTGTCTAAGACATTGTTTGAATGAGGTCGATAGTCAGGGGAGTGATCTAGGGCCATCTTGGCCCTCTTGTTTAGTTTTCTTCTTTGTTACTATATATATTATATATTTTTGAAAATTGTTATAATTTTTCACTTTTCTTCTTTGTGACTTTAAATGGCTTAAGATAATTGTCAACACTCACATCATACATGACAATGTTTACAAGTCTGGTATCTTTATTTCAAGAGATATCTTTTCTTTAGTTAAAGTATTTTACTTGTAAAAATGATAATAGCTAGGAAGTTTTATACATTTGTCTGTTTGTCTTTCTGTTTGTCTCTATACATACTAATCCTGAGAAAATTTGATCTTTGATGCTCTTCTGTACAAACATAGTTTCCTTATTAAGGAGGAAAACTTAACTATTCTACAGAAAAACTAAGAACTGAAAATTTCATTCATGTCTTTCATAATGACCTAATCGACATTGGGACATGGCCCTTCAGAATGTTGCTTACATACTTTTTTTTGGGTTCTAAATGGTAGCTGACCTTTGTATCGTTTGCAATACTTTGATAATTACTCGGTTTTTTTACATCAAAAGTCAAGTGGTAGAACTTTTTTCCATCCGTATTATTTCCGAGATGTTATAATGGGCGTGGCGTTCGGGATGTGAAGTGTGTACACATAATGTGCGCAACTTATTATTGATCAGCATATAAAACATTATATTATTATAGGATATTTTGGATTAAAGTAATGCAAAAATGCATTTTGGGTATGTTTAAAGGATATATGGGAAGATCTTTAGTAACTTTATTACATTAATGTTTAAAATGTGCAAATGGTCACAGTACTAATATTTCCCAACAGAAAATTATGCGTTAATTGTGTAATCCACAGTTTAGCTTTGCCACGGTATGAGACCGTACATCGGATATATTTATGTTATGAGTAAATACAATACAGACGAAAATAACCAGAGGTAATAAAATCAATTTCTAAGGTTATAAAAGATTATGACACTAATTAGATATCGTTTTTAGTTTATATTACCCTGTATAAATGTCAGATAATAAATATGTACAAGAATCAACATCATAATTAAAATTA